GGTGAAGATCACCACTATGTAATTAAAGAGAGGCCTTATGTCAAAAACACCAGGGCGTGAAGGCCTGATGATATCAGTATACATATAAGCATGTCAAGTTATTAATAGATTATTTCATAAAACCACTTCTCTGCCTGTGCTATAAACGTTGTTGTAGTATAGAATAGAGTTTAGTTGCTCTAATGGGGAAAAATTGTGTTATACAAAGCAACTAAACGATAATAGGATATTACTTTAAGTATGAAAAAGCAAGTAGATATTTCACAATTATTAGAAGATTGCTTTGAGCATTTAGGAGTAGAAGTAAGTTATTGCAATAATAAAAGGGAAGAAATTTGTAAAGTAAGAGCGCTGATAAAACGCCCTGATGCCACGTACTCTATAGGCAAAGATGGAGCATTAACTCACCAAATAGCTTCTATAGAAATACGTGTTCAGGACGTTTTTTCCCTTTGGCAAGGTATAGGGGATTATATCAAGATTGACACAAAATACTACAAAATTTTTGAACCACCATTAAAAGATTCTGTAAACATGGTCTGGAGAATTGAGGCAATAGAGGGTGTTTAATATTAACACTAGAAATAATATCAGTCAAATTATTAGTAATATTGATAATTATGGCTCAAAAGTCAGACTTGCAACTACAAGAGCACTGAATAAAACAGCATTATGGCTAAAAGCGCAAGCTGCTAAGGAAATCAGTAAGGAAAAGCAAATAAAGTTAAATCTGATAAGAAAGAGATTGAGGATTTTCAAAGCAAAAACAAGCAGATTGGATGTATTAATAAGAGCAAATTTATATGATATAAGAGCATCATCTCTGGGAAAAATGAAACAGACAAGGACGGGTGCAAAAGCAGGAAAACATGAGTTTACAGGAGGATTTATAGCAACAATGCCAAGAGGAAATAGAGGTATTTTTAAGCGTAAAGGCAGGACTGCATTGCCGATAAAAGAAGTAAAATTGCCACTTGAACCAGAAGCGTCAAAAATAATAAAGGATCTTGTAAGTTATGAAGTTGAGAAGGTGTTCGGAGAGTTTTTTGAACGTGAGTTGAGTTACATTGCAAAAATATGAATTGGAACGATTTACATAACGCAATTTGCACCACGTTGAAGAGAGAAATACCAGCGATACAAACCTGTGAAGTATATCCAGTAATAAGGAAAGAATTAGTAGCTCCAGCAGTATTTGTGGAACTTGCAAGTTTAGAGCCTGGAAAAGATGCGGGAACTGAAGAACTGGCATTAAAAGCTCGATTTGAAGCAAGGATAGTAATTGATTCTACAGTAGAAAATGCTTCGATAATTGTGAGAGCATTAGCAGCACGCAATTTGCACCACGTTGAAAAGGGAAATTCCTGCTATACAAACCTGTGAAGTATATCCAGCAATAAGGAAAGAATTGGTAGCTCCAGCGGTATTTGTGGAACTTAGCAGCTTTGAAAAAGGACATGACCCTGGAACTGAAGAGTTAGCTTTAAGAGCAAGATTTGAAGCAAGGATAGTAATTGATTCTACAGTAGAAAATGCGCCTATAATTGTGAGATCTTTAGCTGCTGAGGTTGCAAGGGTAATAAACAGAAATACATGGGGAATGAGTGTATCTCCGGCTGAGTTTGTATCAGCGGAAGTTGATGGATTTCGGCCAGAATTAGATGCATATATTGTCTGGTTGGTTGAATGGGCGCATGAAGTGCATGTCGGAAAATCAGTCTGGTTAGAGGAAAAAATTCAATCTCACAAAATAGACATTGGGGAAGTAAATGCTGGAAAGTAATTTTGCTATTGCAGAGCTGCAAAGGAAATTAGCCAATGTTATCCGTATTGGGATAGTGAAAGA